CCACAGAAATGTAATTTACTCCCAAATGTGAGATTGAGGGTGAGTTGGGATTGGATATACCCATCTAGTAGTATACAACATCAGGATATACACTACTACTCAAAGTTGGCGCCCTCTTAACAATCTACCACTATAGGTCTAACGCATCAAAATCGGTGAATGGATATTGACATGCAGAGAGATCCTCCACTTCTAAATCCAAACCTCAGTTCACAAACCAGGACCACTCATCTCATCTACAACGCTAGACATGGATTCATCATAAACAGAAAACTATACATAGTAGTCTAATCTACATAATGATTTATCAGAAACAGAAAACTATACATAGTAGTCTAATCTATGTAATGAGCACGAATCAGCAGGCAGACATTGAGCAGAGTGCAGTACTGCAGTGATATATATGTACTTTAATTCTGCATTACTCAACTCTATAAATCCAACTGCTTTATTTTTTGGTAATGGTACTACACACATTCGTACTTCAGTTTTGATGATATTATTATTTTTTCAGTTAGTAGGTTAGATTTCAGCACGGTCATCAGGAGTTGCTCACTGGTGCTTATTGCAAATGGGCAGCACTTGTTCTTTAATTGCCTTTATCTTACCTTAACATGGCTACAACCTATAAGCATTCTCATGTCAGTAAGGTGTACATCACACTAAAATTAACATAAGAGCACTTTGGTTTAGGGGATTAACTAGAACACTTAGATGAATATAAAAGAATTCAGTAAGTACCTGAATGGTTTCAGACTAGCGCTTAAATTAACATAAAATCGAGTTTATTTATGTCTTTCATATCACTACACAGTCTATAACTTAGTTCATTTATATGCCTTCACTAAAACATTTTTTAGAGGAAATGAATGGTTTTGGATAGCGAATTTGTTTCAATAAATTAGGGAATATTGTAGTTTTCTGGAGAGGTCTAGCTTGAATAAACTGGTGAGGCTGAGAGGATTAGATAGGAGACTTGGTAGGCTGCTCTCTAAAATGCATTGTTCTGGCACATAAAATTATGTTCTTTTTAGCTATATCATGTTCCCCTCAAAATATATGATTTTGAGATTTTGCACCCGTTGCAACACATGGGCATGATCCTAGTAACAAGAAAAAAAATAAAAATGGATAGTGATTAATGCTACTCTACCTATTAACCAAGATAAAACAATAATGCAGAACAGTGAACAAACTTAGAGTTGGGTATTCCATGTTAAAAAAAAGACTAATCCATAGATTCAAAATAAGGCATAAATTGTTCGCATCATGCATGAAACAAACTTATATGAACAAATTAAAAAAATACTTAATCTACATGATAACGAGAAAGATATATGAACACTATTAACTACAAATCACTAGCAATTAGGAAAAATGCTGTAAATCATAATTCAGAAATCACATTGACACATTCACATTCCAAAATCCGGTGCTTTTGGCCAGGTCAATGAGCCGCACACTTACAGCGCCTGGGCATCCGGTGTCCTGGCTGGTGTCTATTGCCGGTGCAGCGCTCCGTCCCTCCCCCGGCCGGCCGGCCCTAGTACCTAGGGCCTAGGCCTGTCCTGCCGCCATCCAGATCACGAGCAAGGGATCGATCACCAGAGTCAGGATCCCGCACGCCGCTGAACAAATCGGATTGGAGCAGAGAAGCGTCAGGAGGGGAGGGTAACAGGATTGGGAATTTGCCGAACTGGGCAAGGGAGCACGGGAGTGTCCATGCGTGGCAAATGGTGATCCCATCGCCTTAAACTAGCAGATTGGATTACTGCTATTGAGATCCAAAATAAGACAAAGATCCAAACCTCTTGCAATAAGAACTCAGGATGCCGGGAACGCGGACGATCGATAGGCGGTGCGGGGTCGCGGACGGACGGCGAGCAGGGCAGCGGTCGCTAGGGTAAGAGCAGGGCATGCGGGCGATGGCAGGCCGGCGCGGCGCCGTGCGAGGGCGGCAGCGGCGGTGGCGGCTTTGGTGAACGCGACAGCGCATGCAGGTATAGGGCGTCGGGCGATGCCGAGTGCGAGGGCGAGTCGGGACGATGGCGTCGGGCGCGGATCGGGGAGGGGGCGCGGCGAGTAGTGATAGGCACGTGAAATGACCAACGTACCCTTTAGGATGATAATTAATATTTTATGGAGGCAATGGGAGGCAACGCGAGGCAATTTCAAGTACTGTAAAAGGGCTCTTAAGCTTAATATATATTTAAATATTAAATTTCATATCATTATTCATTAATCATTTGTCATAGTGGTAACTTTTAATAGTTTCATCATGTGCATAATCCTCATGAATACGAATACATATTTTTTTTGAATGCAGATTGGATAGAGAAAAGCTGCAAGAAACAGATTCAGATACATCCATTTCAGCATCATATCATAAACGGATGCGAATACGGATATCCATATTTAAGTTTTACCGGATATATGAATTCGGACAAAATGGATAAGTGGACACCCATTTCCACCCCTACTTCGGCACACCCGGTTTCATCCTATCTTTCCACTAGTTTTCTCCACCTCAACACCTTACTCTGCTATCTTCCCCACACATCCGTTTAACTAGACTGAACTGGCAAAAAACTTAATTCCAATTCTTTCGAGTCGAACTGTCGTTCCAGTCTGGTCCTAATAACTGTGTTAAGCCTTATGGGGAAAAACACTAAAGCACCCATGATGGTGTTAAGCAAGGACCTTAGCCTTGATCATGCTTGCATTAGTGAATTTCATAAGAAGTTATTGTGAGATTGATGTAAAGGAAATAAACTCTAAAATCATGAAGAAATTAAAATAAAATTCTTGAATGAAGTAATATAATCGAGAGAAACTTGTGGAGCTGCAGTCCTAGGTAGCAACATGGAAAAGTACCTCAGGTTCCGAGGAAAGGTTGAGGCATCTCAAGATCAATGTTATCGCATCATGGGCGGAACGTTTTTCAAAATTGATGCACAATCCCATTGCCTTGCTAAAAGTCTCCAGGATAAGTTTGGTAGCTTTTACATCATCTCTGTTTTTTTAGCATCTACATCATCTCTGTTCGAATTGATGATTGCCACATTGTCCGCACACATGGACGTCCTCCACTTAGCCACAGCGAGTGGGAGCAGCGAAAATACCTTGCTAGGCAGCGAGGCCAGGAAGCCTCTGCAAAGGGTCCATGGCTAGGATGAATAGCATTGGTGACCCATTCGTGCCAACACGACCCAAAACTGATGCATGATTTCTAGCAAGCACCTCCAGTTAACAATGTCAAATGCTTTCTAAATGTCCAGTGTCATGAATAAAGTTGGCATTTTTGCCTTGTGTAGCCTCCTCACGGTGTTTTGGAGAAAATTGTCATGTATACTTTTTTTTTATGAATGCACTTTGGCAATTAGAGATCATGAAGTCCAGGCTTGGGGCACAAGTCTGTTGGCAGAGAGAGAGAGAGAGAGAGAGAGAGAGAGAGAGAGAGAGAGAGAGAGAGAGAGATTTTTCGCAATGCTATGAATCAGGCTGATCAGTCTATAGGTTGTCATCCATACGACATCAAGGTTTTTTGGAAGGAGGATGATGTTGGCCGTGGCCCGAGTTGAGCACATCAACACCCTGAGAATTTAAAGTGAACAGGCTCAGGCTGCTGAAGCACGTAGTGAGATCAAATTTAATGGTTCCCAACAACATTTTAAGAAGGCTCCAGTAAAATCGTCTAGACTGGTGCCTTGTCCCCCCGGCATGGAGAGTATGGTATCTCTGATTTCATCTTCTGAGAACATGGGGCTTCAAAGTTCAAAGAAGGTGGCCGGCCTAGGTACAGATGAGCCAAGGTGTTGAGTGAAATATTCCATAACCACCTTTTTTTTCATGGGAGGAGATAATGCTGATGTTTGTGTGTAGGCAATCTATATAATTTTTCCTCACCCTCGAGTTTGCTCGAATTTGGAGAAAACTGTGTTGGCATCTCCACACCAAATTGAATGTGAGGCGAGATCTTTGTCTAATTCTCAACTTCTCAATGGCCACTAAGGTGCCAAGCCTAAACGAGACTTGAGTCTATGTCTTAAGTCCAGTTCGTCTATGGTAACCCCCAACCCCCAAAGCAAAGGTGTCTTTGGCACATCTCAAAACGGCTTCAGCTTCTTTGACAAACCTACTGTAGCATCGCTGTTGAGATACTTAGCACAAAGCCAATAAAGCCATTTGTAGGAAAATGAACTAGATAGATGTTGAAGCCGGTGAAGCCAGTGTTTTGTGGTTTCAACCGGCTTATGCTATAGTAGCCAATAGTGAAGGCGAAGTTGGGTGAAGCCCTATCAAAGAGGGCCCAATAGTGAAGCTAAAGCTAGGTGAAACCCTAAGAGGACCTAAAACCTAGTTTCACCAGCTTCTCCATCTTTTGAAAGAAGGCTCTTTGCTACAGTGCATCTATAGTGTCGCTGCATGTTCGAATGGGAGAAGCTAAAGTCCGTATGAGCCTTGCCAAAGAGGCCCTAAATGTCAGTCCCCATGCTGCAGCTTGCATGACTTGTGATGACCATGACCCATGCATGACAAATAGAAGGTTTTTTTCAACCAGGGGCCATGCCCGAATTTCACTTTATATTATGCACAATTTTTCACATGTGGTTTTCACCTGTTTTTAGTCAATTGAGACAAGATGTAATGATTCCAGCTGCTTCAAGTTCACATCCAAAGTATCATGGAAGTCTTTAGAAAAAAAAAGTAGTATGGAGACAGGACAACTTTTTTTTGTTTGCATGTGCCAGCCAAACATCATATTATCAAGTGGCATGATCCTGACCAATTTGTCTGTAGTGACCTTCATATTTGATCAATAACAAGGTAAAATACACAAATAACATTCTATACATCGAACAAAGTTTCTTTACACTAGACCATCATAATTTTCAACTGAGAGAACGGCAAACTGACACAGATGTCCAAGCTCCATATTTTCAATGAAATTACAACACAGTGACATACAGAGTTCAGGGAACATAATTCATGTAACCAAATCATGATGCTGTGCCATGAAACTTCTGGATGTCATTCTGCAGAAGGAACCACGAGAATGAAAAACCATTGACTCATTTAGTGTGCCCAATATGTGCAACTGTGCAGTTAGGTGGTCGTTGAGAAACAAACCTCTATCTTCGATGGAGAAGTCGTCGGAGCATATCGCTCGACAACCTTGCCATCTTTGTCAACAAGAAACTTGGTGAAGTTCCATTTAATACCATCGCCAAGGAAGCCACCTTTCTGAGATTTCAAGTACTTGTACAATGGTGCAGCGTCCTTACCATTCACATCAATCTGAGAAATCAAGTGAACAAACTTTTAAGTGCGCACCTATATCTGATTGGCATGTACCTTCGATGAACCAGGGGATATCAAATAGTCACTCTGATTACAAATAAGCTTTTTGGACTCGTGCATATGTTACTAATCAACCGTGAATATAAGGTGCTTATCATATATCACATGATGTATTAGTAGGTAAAATTAAATATAGTCAAAACTGGAAAATGAGGTAAAAAAAGGTGCTTCAAAATCGTTGATAAATTCCTTATTTTCAGAAGCTTGATAATGCCAGATGAAGTTATATTTAGAGGCTATAAGCTTATGGCTTACTAAAGTTTAACAGAACTTTGAGAACTTTAACCTTCACTGTTCAATCTTGGACTAGCAATATTTGCTAAAGTATTGAGCTAAGTAAAGCGAGAAAAGTATCACTGGATTTCTTATCAATACTACTTTAAACATGTCATTTATAACTAGCTATTGGTATAAATATTTGCAGAAAAGACAAACGGTGAACCATTGAATAGTGATGTCCAAATTGTCAGTTATTTTGAAATGGAGGTTAGTATACATAGTACATAGTTGGCAACAAGCAGCCCAATTTGTCTCTGTTGAAAAAAGGCCTTTCTGTCGATGTGCTTCTTTCGGATTCATAAAATGAGAGAACACAAGATTAATGGCTTGGCTTCATAGTTTCTATTAGCTAATTTTCCTCTTTGTAAAGCACCTTTTTCTTTCTTTCTTTGGTTCTATATTTTGAATAGTTCATAGCTTTCCATGATATAACAACTATAAAGTCATTTCCCCTACTGTTTCTGCTTCTGTTTCTGTTTCCAACAACAACAACAACAACAACAACATCAACAACATAGCCTTTCAGTCCCAAGCAAGTTGAGGTAGGCTAGAGTTGAAACCCACCAAGAGCCCCAAGTCACGGTTCAGGCACTTCAATAGCTGCTTTCCAAGTACTCCTATTCAAACATAGATCTCTATGTATATCCCAAGCTTTCAAATATCTTTTTATTGCCTCCCCCCATGTCAACTTCGGTCTTTCTCTACCTCTCCTCATATTATTAGGTTGGCTTAGGACTCCACAATGCACTGGTACCTCTAGAGGTCTCCTTTGAACATGGCTAAACCACTGCAACCGACGTTGGACAAGTTTTTTCTTCAATTGGTGCTACCTCTAGGCAATCACGTATATCATCATTCCGAACTCAGTCCATTCTTGTGTAACCGCAAATCCATCGCGACATATACATTTCTGCAACACTCAGTTGTTGGACATGTCGAATTCTTGTAGGCCAACATTCTGCTCCATACAATATAGCCGGTCTAATTACCGTTCTATAGAACTTGTCATTTAGCTTTTGTGGTACCTTCTTGTCACAGAGAATGCCAGAAGCTTGTCGCCACTTGATCCACTCTGCTTTGATTCTATGGCTAACGTCCGCATCAATATCTCCATCCCTCTGTAGCATCGATCCCAGATACCGAAAGGTATCCTTCTTAGGCACTACTTGACTTTCCAAACTCACATCTCCCTCCTCCTGTACAACTCCACCAAAGTCGCATCTCACGTATTTGGTTTTAGTTCTGCTCAATCTAAAACCTTTAGACTCAAGGGTCTACCGCCATAACTCTAGTTTCCTATTTAGTCACTTTCGTCCACTAACACTACATCATCAGCGAACCTTTTGTTTCTGTTTCCGTTCCAAAAATTTACTACTCCCACCAATTGTAACTTCTAGAACTCATGACATTGCCATTCAAACATTTTTTAACTGTGACCATAAATATATAAACCATTAGGTAGACTAACAAATTAAGAAAAATAGTTGCCATGAAGTAAGCTTCACAATGTATGATCCTTTTCATTTCAATTATCATAGTTTCAGAAAACTAGCTGGTCCAAAACCCACCATGCAATGTGGATCAGGTGGGTCTGCAGGACAGCAGGAGAGGGCAGCAGCCAATGCAGCATGGTGGCTGCCTTCCCTGCCTGGGTGCACGCTCTGAGGTGTCCTAGGGCTGACATCCATCCCCACCAAGGTGAGATTGTCATTGATTTGGCATGCAATAAGGGGCTATATTCATTGGCAACTGCCAGGCAGGACACCAGCCAGCCAGGTAAGGATCTCCAACCTAGACGTCAAAATTCGGATGCCTAGGGAGCTCCATGCGCCAGGAGAAAATCCAAACACACCCTAAGATTCGGTTTAGGAAATTAGGGAACAAAGGGGAACGAAAGGAACAAAAGGATGCATCAAGCAAGGAAAAAGAGATTATCCTCATCACTATCCTCTGCCCTGCTACAGTTCACACTAGGGGGGTACTATTCTCTAAACAGTGCCATGGCCCCTTCCCTATGCACACCTCTTCTTGATCTTCCTCCTCCCATCAGATACCATTTGCTGGTCACGCCATTGCCACTCCTCCCTCAAACCCCACTCTCAACGCTAGCTATTTCCTACTCCCCATGCTTTCTTGTACTCATGCATAACAGGTTTCTAGAACGAAAACACTAGTAACAAGGGTTAAGGAATGTTTAAATTTCTTACTCTGTTCACATCTCTGCCTGGTCCAATCAACTTGATTATAACAAACTTCCAATTTAAAATAAATAGCAATCATGTCAACGAACCCTGAAGAATGACAACTGATATGACATGCAAACAATATCATCTAGGATACCATGAGATAGCAATGTGGGTTGTTTTTATTTCACATATTCAGATGTATATGTATGATAGAAAACTCTGAATTCATAATATGTTAATTACTGCAAAAGAAAAGCTCACAGGTCAAATTGCTTACCTTGTCAAAAATAGGAAACTATGCTTTGAACCTGCTACAAACTGTCTCCTGGATATCTTCATTGCTGCCAGGCTCTTGACCAGCAAATTGATTACATGGGAGTGCAAGTATCTCAAGGCCTGCATGCAAGAGTGAAAGGAAGCCAAGGAAATGAGATAAATTCATTTTGATAAAGGAAAGATATAGTTTCATATTATTTCAGGTATGATTCTGCATGAGAACCCTATAGTCAAAGAACAAACCTTTCTCTCTGTACTTCTCATACAAGACATTTAGCTCTTTGTAATTGGAACTTGTTAGCCCACTACAAAATAAGTAAAACCAATGAACCACAAGTTCCACATATGTTTCAACTATGAAATAAAATAAAACATTGCTCTAGCATCTATTTTCTGAGGCATCTTCATTCAATCTTACAACTATGACTTGAACAGGGGAAAACATGTACAACAACACACAAGTTTGCTACACTGGAGTGACCTATTTACAACATGAGTAATATGCAGTATAGTAAGTAATATGTGTATAGGTATAGCCAGCAACAAGCAAAAACATACATCCGTCTAAGAACAGAATATAAAATGCCAGATTCACCTTCCTAAAAGGCCCACACAGAAGCCATTGGCTCTCAGTTATAGCTGAATTACGAAGGGTAAGGAAGCTAGTTGAACCAACTATGATCCATTTAGGTAGTTGGAATGTAGGGTCGCTTATAGGTAAGTTAAGAGAATTAGTTGATACCGCAACTAGGAGGTGTGTAAATATATTATGCATTCAAGAGACTAAATGGAAGGGTCAGAAGGCGAAGGAGGTGGACAATACAGGTTTCAAGGTTTGGTAAATAGGGATAGTCGCGAATAGAAATAGAGTAGGAGTTTTGATTGATAAGATCCTCAAGAATGGTGTGTTGGGAGTGAGAAGGCAAGGAGATAGGATTAACTTAGTCAAGCTTGTCGTTGGTGATATGGTCTTGAACGTAATTAGTGCGTATGCCCCCCAAGTAGGCCTCAACGAGAGTGCTAAGAGACAGTTCTGGGAGGACTTAGATGGCCTAATTAGAGCTGTACCTGGTAGTGAGAAGCTTTTTATAGGAGGAGATCTTAATGGACATGTACGTACTACAAGCGCAGGTTTCGAGGCAGTTCATGTAGGTTTTGGGTATGGTAGTAGGAATCAGGAGGGGGAGCTAGTTCTGGACTTCGCGGTAGCTTTTGACCTAATGATAGCCAACACTTTCTTTAGAAAGAGAGAATCTCATCTAGTGACCTTCAGTAGCGAACAACACTCTAACCAGATTGACTTTGTTCTCACAAGAAGAAAGGACAAATGAGCATGCTTGGGTTGCAAGGTGATACCAGGGGAGTGTGTTGTTTCTCAACATAAGCTTTTGGTGGTAGACTTTTGTTTTCAGGTGCGTGCCCGTAGGGATAAACAAGCTAAGATTGAAAGAACAAAGTGGTGGAAACTAAAAGGGGAGACGTCAGAGGTATTTAGGGAAAGGGTTATCAAAGAGGGCTCTTGGAAGAAAAAAGAGGACATAAACAACATGTGGGAGAAGATGGCAACCAACATTCGGAAGGTGGCCTCAGAGGTGTGTGGAGTAACCAAAGGAAGTGGAGGCGAGGCTAAAGATACTTGGTGGTGGAACGAGGAAGTCCAAAAGGCTATTAAGGAGAAGAAAGAATGCTATAGATACTTGTACCATGACAGGAGTGTGGACAACATAGAGAAGTACAAGGTGGCAAAGAAGACTACAAAGCGAGCTATATGTGTGGCAAAGGGTAGAGCGTACGAGGATCTTTACCAACATTTGAATATGAAGGAAGGAGAGAAGGACATTTATAGGATGGCTAGGGTTAGAGAGAGAAAGACAAGGGACTTCAACCATGTTAAGTGCTTTAAGGATGAAAGGGAGCATCTCTTGGTAAAGGAGGATGAGATCCAACATCGATGGCAAGAGTATTTTGACAAATTGTTCAATGGTGAGAATACGGACACAACCTTTCAGTTGGATGACTCTTTTGATGACACCAATAGGCGCTTTGTGTAGAGAATCCACGAATCTGAGGTTAGAGAGGCATTTAAAAGGATGAAAGGAGGTAAGGCGATGGGACTGGATGGTATCCCAATCGAGGTGTGGAGATGTCTCGGGAACATAGCTATAGTATGGCTAACCAAGCTGTTCAACCATATTTTTCGATCGAACAAGATGTCTGACGAGTGGAGAAGTATATTGGTACCGATCTACAAGAATAAAGGGGATATTCAAAGTTGTACTAATTACCGGAGAATTAAGTTGATGAGCCATACTATGAAGCTCTGGGAGAGAGTTATCGAGCATCACTTGAGAGCAATAATGTGGGTCTCTATGAACCAATTTGGTTTTATGCCCGGAAGGTCAACCATGGAAGCCATTTTCTTAATAAGACAAGTTATGGAGCGGTATAGGGAGAAGAAGAAGGACCTACACATGATTTTTATTGACTTGGAGAAGGATTATGATAAAATACAAAGGAATGTTATGTGTGGGCTTTGGATAAACATAAAGTCCCAATGAAGTATGTCGGGCTTATTAAGGACATGTACAACAATGTTGTGACTAGTGTTCGAACAAGTGATGGAGACACGGATGACTTCCCGATTAGGATAAGACTACATCAAAGGTCAGCTTTGAGCCCTTATTTGTTTGCCTTAGTGATGGATGAGGTCACAAGGGACATACAAGGGGACATCCCTTGGTGTATGCTCTTCGCGGACAATGTAGTGCTAGTTCATGAAGGCCGGAAATGAGTGAATTAGAAACTGGAGTTATGGCGGGAGACTTCGGAGTCCAAAGGTTTTAGACTTAGTAGAACTAAAACTGAGTATATGAGATATGACTTTGGCACTACTACTCGGGAGGAGGAAGATATTAGCTTGGAAGGTCAAGTAGTGCCTAGGAAGGATATCTTTCGATATTTAGGATCAATGCTACAGAGAGACAGGGATATTGATGAAGATGTTAGCCATAGAACCAAAGTAGGGTGGATGAAGTGGCGCCAAGCATCTGGTGTTCTATGTGACAAAAGGGTACCACATAAGCTAAAAGGCAAGTTTTATAGGACGGCGATTAGACCTGATATGTTGTATGGTGCAGAATGTTGCCCTACGAAAAGACATGTTCAACAGATAAGTGCCGTGGAAATGCGTATGTTGCGTTGGATTTACGGTCATACAAGAAGTGATCGAGTTCAGAACGATGATATACGTGATAGATTAGGGGTAGCACCAATTGAAGAAAAGCTTGTCCAACACCGGTTGAGATGGTTTGGACATGTCCAACGGAGACCTCCAGAGGCATTAGTGCGTAGTGGAATCCTAAGCCAAGATAGTAACGTGAAGAGAGGCAGAGGAAGACCAAAGTTGACTTGGGTAGAGGCAATAAAAGGAGACTTGAAAGGATGGAATATACTCAAAGACTTAGCCTTAGATAGGAGTGCTTGAAAAACAGCTATTCACGTGCCTGAACCTTGATTGCTTCTACTGGGTTTCAACTCTAGCCTACCCCAACTTGTTTAGGACTTAAAGGCTTTGTTGTTGTTGTTGTTGTTATATCTATACTGTACATCAACTCAAATTCATAGTACAAGTTGAGTTCAAGACAGATGCAAGATAACTCTATCCTATCAAGTTAAGGAAAATGGATACACCATGATGAATAACCTTGGAGGATATAGTATTCATTTCAACTCTCTAAAGGTTAACAATCCATATGATTTTAGCTCAAATGAATAAATTTAAACTTGGAGAAAGGGACATCCATTTTCATCAGAAGACCATTGATATATTTTTTAAATGTTTAATATGATCTAGTGTAGGCTACATTGCAATGTTAAATAACAAAGTTCAGTTTCAAAAGTTACCATTTTGAAGCAACATTGACGATAAGAAGAACCTCTCCAGCATACTCACTCAGTTTTATGTCATCACCCCTAATATCCTTTACAAGAACAAAATATCAGTTTAGAAACAAGTATGCAAAGATAAAGAACATAATATGTAAATTGAGGTCACAGGTAATAATGCACAGCTATGAAATTTGAAGAATCATTATGCCTATGTTACTGTGCTGGGTGCCGCCAGCAAATGATGCAGAACTTCCTGATAGAATAATGCAAAGTAAGAGGAAAAAAAGGCACATATATCTATTGCGATAAGGACAAACGACACTTTTTCACTTTTGACAGGTCCACCCAACAGTACATCTTTGTAGTGAGACAAGCAGAGTTCCACGCAATTTGAATTAAGATAACAGTTCCCCCTGGTCAAAAATTCAGTTTTCTACCTCGTCCCATTTACATCCAACGTCAGTGCAGGTTTCAATACTAAACTCGATTTCACAAGAAAATAAGGTATCTTGAACAGCAAAGCCACCATCTTGTCACCAATTACTCCAATCTAAATCAGGATTTCACTTCGGTAGCGAAAACAGCCCGAATCTTTCAAGTAGCAATGAGCAGAGCAAGTAGCAGAGAGGAGAAAGGGGAATAACGCCTAGCAGATTTGCAGGCACCAACCACTTATCTTGATGGTGATGTCATAGATGGAGGTGGGCAGGTCGTCGGCCATTTGCGGGACTGCCGGGGTGAGGGAGCGGAAGACGAGAGCAATGGCGAGGACGAGGACGGCGACGGACAGGAGTCGGGAGCCCCTGAGCCCTCTTGTAGCCTCAATCATCGGGGCGGACCGGCGGTCGGCGGAGGCGTTTAGTACGAAATGGGACACCAGCCGACAGATCGGTTTGACTAGCTATGGTCAACATTGGTGTCTCTAGTGATTTTTTTTATTTTTAACCCTTTTTCAAAATTATATTTTCTAAAAATAACACTGTTGATTTTTTTTTAAAATCTAATCCATTTACCCACACCAATCTCACTGGCGCGGCAAACCGCATTAACAGGGTTGCCAGTGTGGTTGGTCAACCCTTTGGCTGACCCAGTGACGTGATGCGTGCGTCGCACCGTCGACTTTTGCACGGTAGCGGCCGCGCGACCCTGCTAGGCGTGGCTAGGGCGGGTACAGAGCCGCCGCACGCCTTCCTCCCCCCCTTCGTTCTTATTACTCTCCCACAATTCCATTCCATGCATATGTGCAAGCTTTAAACCAAATACACTAGTACATATGTAGGGGAAGCTAATACTATCAAAATCAAATTTGTGATGTTTGTCCAATTCATATTCATGAACAAAATGCTTGGACAAGCAACTCAAATTCAAAATTGAATTTATTTCATATCTTTGTGAAGGTTGTTATCAATTACCAAAAAAAGGAGATTGAAAGCTCTAGTTTGGTTTTGGCTAATTGATGAAACCCATTAGACTAACACTATGCTTAAGTGTGTAGTTAAGATAGGTTGGTCCAAGTCCAAGCAATGGAGCTAGACGGCACTCAAGTGAAGGAGATGGCCTAGAGATAGTGATCAAGTGCTCCAACTTGGAAAAGAAGAAAGGAAAACAAAAGTGGTCAAGGCAAAGGTATAAAACCTAAGGACCATTTTGTTTTACCGATCAAGACGCAATAGAGTGCGTGATCGGATTTAGGATAGATAGTTGTACTATGAAGAGGGGAAAATCATGGTAATTGCAGTTATCAAGTGCCACTAGGTGAAGTCATTCATGCATTTGCATTAGGACGTAGTGAGAGCTAACCATCCCTTCAAAATTGCTTTGAAAAATGCTAACTCAAAGTGGCTAAGTGATCAAATATTTTGGAGCTAGAACTTGGATGGAAGGGTGGAAGAAAGGAAGTAAAGAAATTACTCCTGCCTGCATGGGACAAGGCATCGGGCAAGGCGAGTCCCTGTCCGATGGCATACCCTAGGTGAGCAGAGGCATAAGAGGCACAGTACGTGCATTGGACAACAACGAGTAGAGGCATCGGACGGTCTAGAAGAATTGTTCATGCAGCGGCATTGCAGTTCAGAATGCATCGGACAATGTCGCCTGTCCGATGCTCTTTGGTAGATGTGTCTGATGGCAAAATGAGCTCTCTTGGAGCTCTCTGGATGGCAACAGACAACGGTGGTGGACTTTGTCCGATGGTACATCTGACAACGGTGACACAGCAAAAGAGCCATTGGAGCCCCAATGGCTAGTGACACGTGGTAGCTGGAGGAGCATCGGACAAGCGCTGTTCATGTCCGATGGGTCTGTCCAATTTCCCTGAAAACAACCCATTGAGAGTAACGGTTGGATGGCTTGGTTGGTGTATAAATAGGTGTTGGCCGGCCTTGGCTGACCCTCTCTTGGAACCCTAAAGTTTTCAAAATCATCTTGAGGATTCCTAACCCTCTCCTACTCATCTACTTGTTTGATTGTGCATCTAAAGTGAGATTGAGTGCATCCAAGTGCATTTGCTTGAGTGGAGGCATCTAGTGGCACTTGGGACTCTTTGTTGCTACGGTTTTCTTGTTATTGTTGGTGGTTGCTGCCACCTAGATAACTTGGAGCAGCGGTGGAGGTTCAGCATGTGTTGGTGATTGTTTGTGGCCACCTCCGATGATTTGTGAGGGGTTCTTGTGCTTAGTCCCCGCAGGAGCCGCGAAAAGCAACTATTGTAAATTGCTCGTGACTTGTGTACCCTCATCATGTTGTGGTTCTTACGGCACCCAAGTGTTGGGCTATGCGTGTGATGTCTATTAGCGCGTGAGCCACCAATTGAATGTGTCATCACAACGGGGACTAGCTTGCCGGCAAACAAGTGAACCTCAGGATAAATCTTGGTGTCAATTGTCTCTTGGTATTCCTTTTGGACACTTGCCTGGCTCGGTATAACATCTCCTACCCTCGCTTGCACTTACTTTAGTAGTATACTTGTGTAGGTTTGCTAGTTAGCATAGCTAGAGTAGAGTAACTAGTTGTCATTTTAGCTCTCTAGTTGTAGCTCTAGTTAGCTTGTGTGTCATAGAAATCATAGCAACTAGAAGTGGTAGGTGGCTTGCGTAGCACCCTCATAGAGCTAGAGCAAAATTGCTTTTCGCCATATTTATGTCTAACCCTTTGCTCTAGTGTTTTGTAGAAATTTTTATTAGGCTATTCACCCCCCCCTCTAGCTATTTTGGACCTTTCACTCATCCCATAGGTGTACTCGGCTTTCTTGGATGAGCTTTTTTTGTTTGCCCCTGGTGGTACATGGCCTATTATAACACCCTAAATTTTGACACTAAAATAAAAATGACTAAAAATTGAACTTTTTAAAACTTTACCTAAAGAAATAAACACCAACTCAAAACCACTTGAACAGGGATTAATTTAACCCATCTAAAAAATTATCTAGCATGAATAAATAAATCAACCAAATAGAAACTACATGAGTGACCTTGGTTGGAGTGATTGATTTCTTGCTTATTTGAACATATGGTGGTACACATTTTCTAAAAACTTCTCAAACTAATTTGAATTCAAAACTCATTTCCAAACTCAATATAGAAAATAGAAAAGAGAAATAGAAATTTGAAAAGGGTTCACGGGCTCCTTCTCCTCCTCCTATCCCTTTCGACCCATGGCGTGCCTCCTCCCTCTCCCTCACTCCCGCACTAGGCCACAGTGGCAGCAGGTCCAGACCCCTTGCATGCCCACGTGAGGCCCTCTCCTCTCCTTCCTCCAACACGCGGGGCCCGACGGCATTGCCGTCTTCTACCTCGCCACTGGTGAGAATACCGCGCCCATGGCAGCCGCCTCAGCCATGCCACCGCCCCTCTCTTTCTCTCTCTCCCCCTCTGCCTGCCATGGCCTTGTAGCGGCACCACCTCCGCCTTCCGTTGCCCGCCATGGATGAGCTTCAAGCTCTGACGCGTGCATGGGTATAGCTGCACTATGGCGAACCGCCTTAGCCATCCAAGCACATTCACAGTGCCAAAAATATCTCCAATAGTCGGGAGATATTTCTCCCGCCACCGCCGCCATGCCGGTCTATAAATAGGCCCAGCCGGTGATGCTCCGGTCTCACCACTACCGCTATGAGCTTCGCCGATAGCTAGAACAGACCATCTCCCCCTCCATTCCTCCTCTTCTCCTCTCAGTGGAGCCCTAGGTCAAGTTTCCCCAAATCAGGAACCGCCGACGCCATTAGCACCGCCTCCCCCTTTCTTCTTCCTTGCTGTGCCATTGGTCGATAGGAGTAGCCAGTGAGTCCTAGAGCCCTCCCTCACCTTCTCCCTCACCTATTTCTCCCTCTCTCCCTCTATGTTACCCAATCACCGAGCATCTAGTACCGCTGAGCCACCATGGACGCTGGCTAGCCGTCGGCGAGGCTCGGCTGGGCAATACACCACCATTGGCAGATGCACTGCACCTCCATGCTCACATACACGTAGTCACTTAATAGAGTTAAGGCCTCTAAGTCCATTTTCACTACACGCCGCCGCCGCGGGAGCTCCAGCGAGCCGCCACCGATGTGCCGACCACCCACCACCACCGGCAACCCGTAACCGGCTGCGGCTCGGCCTCCCAAACGTCGTCCACCCCTCCACGTCGCTCACCAAGGCCCTACGCCACCGGCGTAACGAACGCCGGCGAGCCCTCGCTCTCTCCTCTACCCCAACGTTGTGCCAGTCGTCGCCATCTGGCTACCATCCCCTCTCTCCCCTTCTTCACTCACTACTGAGTGGGACTAGGCAAAGACACCGTTTCCGTCGCTGCCATCCCCTTCCGTCACCTTCTCCCCCTCCCTCTTCTCTTTGCCGCGTGGGCCCAGATGTGTGATGCTGTCCCCACCATCTCTGCGCTGACGCCAGGCTGCCCGACACCGCTGGCCCACATGTCACACACGCGCAACACACACACACACCGCACAGCATAGGAAAATGCTATAGGTACCCGGTTAGTGTACATAAGAGGTTATAAATCCCATTTCCAAGCCTAGAAAAATTCCTAGAAAATTTGTAAATAAACTACATGCACCCAATAACCTACCCATATAATTTCCACACATTTTCCATACACCAAAATGTATATAAAATTCTATTTAATTCACAAATTATATATTAAACTTGTAAAAACCATATCTTCTCCATCCAAACTATGTTTTACGTGAAACCACTCCCAAAATTCTTCTAGAATCAAGTTCTATTTATTCAACCTAGTTCCACCATATTGTTCTATGCTTGTATGTGGTTGCTTGTTTCATGTTTGTATTTAGCGGTAGATTATTTATTAAATACCGACCGACAGACGGTGAGTACCCAGAAAGTGAGGACCTAGACTACGTAGATGATCCGAAAGGAGACAACAACGAAGGCAAGTCCTAGATAGCCCTTTGTTGGTATAAATTAATGCACATAGAATAATCTATAAGCGCACGGATATTATACTAATGTAGCACTTCACCGGGAGTACCTAGTTTTATATCGAACTCGAAGACATGTGTGTGAGAATAACCAAATCTAACTTATCCCAACTTCATAAATCAAGGCTAGATAATTGGAGCGTAGAGGAGACTGCTAAGGTCTTCTAGTTCTAACTTCAGTAAGCTTTGTCTTCTATTGTTCAATTCTGTGGATATTACTAGAGAAAACACAAGCAGAGTATGTTTCCTATAGCAAGAATGTCCTGTTAGGCCAACTAACGGGAGGTGGACTATAAAGGATTCAACAAGTCTATAAGAGTCACCCTCGCAAGCTACTACCGATATGGAAAATAGAGTACATCCACGAGTAACCGAGTCTAAGCACCATGCTT